CGTATTCCCTAACAGGATCACCGGAAAGGTAGACCAGCGTGAAAACCCCTTGACGCAACAAACTCACAATAACAATGATAAAACGTTACAACAATTAATAAATAAGGTAAATAATTTAAAAAAATCAAAAACCCGACTGTAAAAAAGACAATTTGAAAGTAATGTACTTAAAAGACCGAAACAAGAATAAGTAAAGAAAACAAAATTAAATAAAACTATAAACAAAGTAAACTTTACTTCAGTTGAACAGACTATATTGTGAGCTGAAAGCCTAAATAAAATAGCCTAATTTATATATTAAGGTTTAGCAAGCGGAACCCATTAATTTTCTTACGGTTTTTAATTTGTAATTGGGTCCCGCCTGCTACTAAACTTAATATTTTACCTACTTAGGCTATTTTACCTAGGCTTTCAGCTCATAATACAGTCTGTTAGACCGAAGTAGAGTTTAGTTTGTTTCTAGTTTTATTTTAATATTGTTTTCTTTACTCATTCTTGTTTCGGACTTTTAAGTACATAACTTTTAAATTGTCTTTTTTTGCAGTCAGGTTTTTGACTTTTTAAATAATTTACCTTATTTAAGACTTTCTAGTGTTCCAGTCTATTGTGTAAAGGTTTATGACGTTTTTCCAATAATTAAGCGACTTAGAAAGCTCGACGTATATTTCTTAAAATAAACAGTGTTTATTTATTACATTTTTATTCAAAACTTCAAAGTATATGATTCAAAATTTATTGAAAACAGTTTATTTGTTCCGGTTTGAATGTGACTGGGCGACGAGGTCTGATACAAACATTGCACATTTTATATACCAGTAATTAAAAACTTTATAAACCAATTTATTTTTACTAATTAAATTTAACCATACAACTTATATTCAATATTCGATAGGTTTGATTTTTTTTAAATTAATGAATTAGGTACTATTTTTCGCCAAATATCCGCCATTTTGTTAAAAAAAGTTATCTTGGAACACTTGGGTTTTTAAGACGAATAAAACGATAGGTACCTTTGTTGAAATCCATCCAGCCGTTTGGGAGATACGAAGTAATAAAGAAATTTACAAACATACTTAAATTTAAACATACCACTTATATATATTTCTTATCTCCTTTGAATATCTTTCATTTTGATATTTTTTTTTATTAACGTATTATTATTTTGCGCAAAAAATCCGCCAATTTGATTATTTAAAAAAAAGTTATGTAAGAACACTTGGATTTTTAAGAGGAATTAAACGATATCGTAATTGTCGAAATCCATCCAGCCATTTGGAAGATACGACGTAATGAAGAAATTTACAAACATACAAATCGTGCGAAAAACGTAACTCTTCCTTGGCAGTCGGGTAATAAAACACGGAATTAATAGATCAAATATTACAAAATTACAAATTTTTTAATTAAAATGAAAATGATGTTTAACACTTTCAGATTAAGACATTCATTGAAAAACAAATAGTAACTTATTAAAAACAAGTATATAGTTAACAGCGGCCATAAATAACAATTAATAGGAAAACGAAACCAAAGTAGGTATTTTATTTAAAAATGAAATTGGCTTAAGAAAATATCAGTGTCATTATTTGGATCAAATTTAATTAGATGAACCAACGCTCTCAATGCCCAAAAACCTTAATGAAATCGTGCTCTGAACGTAAGCGATGTCGTGGTTCACCGTTATCCTTAGGCACAAAAATTTTCCCTTCCCGAGTTCACGTGTCCTTCGATTCAGCCCGCTTGCATTCTACGCGTGCCTTGTAAAATAGTTGCCGGTTAAATTTGGTCAATCTTTCATTGATATGGAATGGAGATACGGCAGAAACGAGTCCTAGGCCTCTCATCCTCTGTGGTGGTGCTGCGACGAACGCGCGCCGCGCCACCGCCAGCAGACTGTCCCCGTGCGCGCGGCGCGCCAGCCGCACCACTAAAGGACGGGGCCGTACACTTCCGTTTTGATCCACTGCGCGCCGAATGGGCCCTGCACGCTCCGCATTCACAAGGTCTCGCTTCTCTAGAGGGACTCCCAACTTAGTAGCTACTGCCAGTACCAGATGAACGGATCGTTCGTTTTTTTCCTCTGGTATTCCCGAGATCTCAATGTCATTACACAGCAACTCTTGGTCCCAATCGTTGAGTTCCGCCTTCAAATCAGCAATTATGATTTTAAATTACATGTGTCATCTAATTTTCTACTGTTCTGATGACATTCCACGGCCTCCACTCGAGCTTCGAGACTGTCGAGTCGTTGGTTGCATCTGTTAATAGCCACAACAAGATTTGTGATGTTGCCCTTTAATTCCTACATATTAATGCACATTAGCTCTTGCCGTAGTAATCTTAGTTCAGTCGTCAATCCAGTCTCTATATCCTCTATATCCTCTCTATATCCGATGTAATTGAGGTATGTGCAGTTGGAACCGATGGACTCGGTTTATTAGCACGACCACGTAAGGTAACATTCGTACAGCTGGAATCCATTAAATCCTGCTTAATAGGCGTGTTTGTGTTATCAGACTTCGGTTCCCTGCTTAAACATTCCTGACATTTCCATTTTCGTTTATATTCTGTAGTCATAGTATTATAGAATCGTTTTTACACACATATACAGAAGGTCATAATGCTTGGTGCAAACATAAGATTTTAAAAAGTGCCCGCTAATAATTTATTGTGAACATCCATTACAAAGGACTTTAGTCATAGTTGGAGGCGCCATCTTTCTCTTTGCAAGGGTAAACTCGAGTACTCGTAGGAAGGCAATTCTACTGAGCGAGAGAAAAATCATTGATTTATATAACACTAGATCAGTAATAACCGCGGCAAAGCGTTGCCACTGTACATATGGCCACAGCCATATGCCTAGCTAACGTGAGTTCATTGTTCAATGTGACGCCGACAGAGTTGAGCCGCGACAAAAATGGGTAAATGCGTAGTGAAAGAATGCTATTCAAGGTCACAAAAATGTAATAAATCAAGCGGAATCACTTTCAACACACAACTTTTGGTTCTTGTTTTCATATAAACATAAAAAACCTCAAATAATTAAATAAAATTATCGAATATTGCCATTTAGGTTCAATGTTGCCACTTTTCCGCGTTTGTGATTATACTACATTAATGGGAGACTATATAATTAATGGAGTAAGTTAATTTGTTACCTCTGATTTTAAATATTTTGGAAATTATAATAAAAACTACGTTTTAACTTTCATACAAAATAACTAATTATTCTTATTTTAGTTTATTCATGAATTATCTATTACCTATTTTATATTAATAAATTTATATTATTTATAATTTCATATAAATTTTATATTAATTATATTTTATTACCTATTTTATATTGTTTGATTTATTAGTACCATAAAAATACGTTTTATTTCATCATTATGTTTACTTCTATTCATCTGATAAGCTTTGTATCCTTTTTTTTAAGGGGACGTAATAAAGATTTTAAAATAAAATATACTTTTTTAATATAAAAACAATTAACTGCAGCTTTAAAAACTCATTTTTATTGCGTAGGTATTTTAGGTAAAATTTCATATAGTAAGCCACACCAACCCGCCATTGCATGTTTGTGTCTTCTTTCATCTTTATCTAATCTTAGCGACGTATTGTTTTCGCAACATGTGTAAGTGAGATAGATATATGTTTACTTAAAATTGTTATTAGGTTCAAAGCTACGTCGTCGCGTTTGGATAGTGGTTACACTTTTTTCGACTCGCGGTAATGTGGTTTGCTCCTCTAGTGTTGTATAACTCTGAAAATTGATTATTGTGATTCTATGATTTACTTCTAGATGGCGCCGTTACACAGATCTTTAATTCCCAATGTGAGTAAATTTTAAATTATATTGAGTAGGTACGTACCTAAATATAAACGTCACAAAAATAAGTATTATAGTTACTAAGTATTTAAAGTACTGAAGATAATTACTAATAGTATAGTTTAGCCTAAGGTAAGGTAAAACTAGTATTTTGTCATAATACACTCAAACACAACAAATTTAAAAATCTTAAAATCTTTCGTTCTCACACAATAATACACATGGATAACACTATCACTGTTATATAGTAGTAGCTAAAGCCACTGAATTTTAGCACTATTACACCAAATAGCTCACTGTTAAATTAATCATTTCTGTATTAAGCAAGACGATGTTACTTGTGTACCAGCGCCATCTGCCCATATGCATATATATTATATACTCCTTTATCGACGTTGACAGTCAGACTACGAAAAGATTTTGGAAAATCAACTAGTCAAGACTCAAGAGGTAGAATAGCGCAGTGTTGCCAGATCTAGAGGTTTTTCCTCAATCTAGGGGTTTTTGGAGGACGTTGAGGTTTTTTTAGAGGTTTTAATATCACGAAATTAATCTAGAGGTTTTTCTGAAGGTTTTACTAGTCTTACCAACTTCCTAATTCTTTTTCAAAACAGACAATGCCGACAATTCATTATCGATATAAAATATCGATATGGTATTATCGCAATTAATTTGTTTTGTCCGTCTTATACTCATAACTTTTTCTATATTGATGTATTTAACCTACATCTGTGCATAAAATGTAATAGTGTTGGAGATTTAGATTTGTGTTTGCCTTAGTGACACAAAATTTTATTGAGTGGGTGTGCAGTACTGTCTATGTAGTGTTTCTTCCCCCGCACCAAAAGTGACAGACTTTTTTGTTCGTAGCATTAGGCGCATTACTCGTCCATTGGGTTGGATGGTCTAAGTACGTAGCTTGTATGTAGTAGTAAGTTTTTATTTTTTTTTTTCCAACCACCAAAAAAAAATTTTTTTTATTTTTTTTTTTTTTTTTATTTTTGATAAATCTAATTCACACGAAACTTGACCGAATAAAAATTCAGAGGTTTTTATACCCCTACATAGGGAAACTAGGGGTTTTTTCGAAAAATCTAGGGGGACAGGTGAAAAAAATCTGGCAACACTGGAATAGTGTTACAGCTTGCTCATTCATAATTTTAAATTACAGGGAACAATTTTCTGATATGTTTCTCGATCAGACGTAATTGGAAGAGGTTGGTGGCGTGCCCTGCCTATAGCCATGATCAACGGCTTAGACGTTTTAAAGGATTTAATGGATTACGGTATTTATCTTTTAACACATATTATCATAAATATAAATTTAATTTAAGTACAAGTATCTACATACAACCACACCGATATTGTGCAAACTATTTGGTATTTACTTATGAAATTGCCGTTTTTTATAAAATAAGTTAGGGTTATTTATGTTCTATATATTTGTTTCTAAATAAAAGTAATGGCTAAATGCAATCGATACTTTTTTATCAACGCAATGGCAGTTTATTGAAGCCCTTCTTGAAGTAATCAGCTGGACGAGAGGACATAAATTCTTCAAAGGCATTTTGTGCTGCCTCTCGGGTATTGAATTGTTTTCCCGCCAAATATTTGCCCAAATTCTGGAAAAAGTAAAAGTCTGTGCAGTCTGGTGACACCATGAGGTGCATTTTCCAGGTCGAAATTTCCAGAACGGAAGCGGGTAAATCGGGTGTGTTCTATTGAAGTATTCGCTCCGTAACGTCGTTGATGTTGGGTGGTGGTTCCGATATAGAACCCCGTTAAGAATCAATTATACTCATACTGGCTAATGTAAATGACCTCATAAATCGACGGTAGGTACTCATATTCCATAATTAAACGAATTTTTTTCATATCAATGATGACGAAAAAGACTAAAATGCGATGGAAACATAAAACTAATCGATAAAAAGAAAGTCGCTAATTAAAAATCAATTAAATCAAACGTTATAAAATCCGTAAAAGTAGTTTTAACCTATAACTCCAATGTGTAGTGTTCGCGTAAATATAAGAAATCATTAAAGAAGACTAATTAAAAAAAAACATGTTTTTAAAACTTTAATTTGAAATTAGAATTCTTAGCCAAACAAAAAATACCTTGATTTAAAAATAAATGACAACTAGGTACTGCAGAACAGCAAATCATAGGTAAATACCTATTATTAAAATAAATCTATCATATCTGTTACCTTTTATGTACGATATTTTACCTCTGAGCTTTAAATCCAGAGCCAGTAATTTGTACCTAGAGTATACCTGACCTTATCGCGCTCCACTTTACGTGATACCTATTTCGAAAGGGAATTCAAATATTCAAGGAGTTTAGAATCACTGCCAATTATTTAGGTGCATGGTATGAAAATTCGGGTAAAAACGGCAGTTGATTTTCTTTACCTATATTTCTCAATATTAATAACAGATACTGCTACAATTTTTATCAATTATCTTTGAATTAATATCAATCATTTGTGAATATTTGAGTTATTAATGCTATATTTACGCTGCGCGCCGATCGATTTCGATTTGAACCCTTGATTGCGATGTCTTTGTACTACGATAGGTATCTTTTAAATTATTATATTACTGTGCATATTTTCTATAAGGTTTTAGGATTCTCTGTCTACGGTTTTTTCTTGTATGTCTATAATCTATAATCTTGTTCTAGAATCTACTACTGGATAAATTAAATATAATTATAAAGAGGTAACCAATAATGTAATTTCTCCTCGCTTTTTAGAAGCTGGACCTGTATGTATGAGTTTGTGTATATCTCATTCATTTATTATAGCTTATCAAAATTCGACTTCCGAATATAAGCCTCCCCCACAGTTTGCCTCATAGGCGGGATGTAGGCCACAGCTGGCACGCTTGGCAGGCGGTTGGCAACCGCATTATTTCATTTTCTTGTTTTTATTAGGAAGATGCTGCTGCCCCTCTTCAAGTTTGTTTCCCTCTGTCGCGTATTTCGGCACGCTCGGCTTGATGTAGGATATTGAATATTCTTACAACGCCATTACACGGTTTTGAATGTACGTATCTATCAATTTATAGTTTTAATTTTATTTTATTTTTTATTTATTTATTTATTTAACATATTATACATGATAAAAAGGATATAATATGGTACAACATAAGCTTAATGAAAAACTTTACCGTGTACCACAGACCACCGACATAATTTTTTTTTAAATATGAGCTACACCTTAATCTACAAAAATATGTTTAACGCAACACTATTGAACACTAAACAGCAATTGGCACGGTCAACACGCGGTAAATCGGCAATACATACGTAGTAACCTCATAGTGAACAAGAAAGGTGTGAGTCTTGCCACCGCCCACTTCACTGCGTCAAAAACCGGTCGTTCCTGCGTTGCGTATACAGGGGGGTATCAATTAGTTAGTTACTTAATATTAAATTATTTAATAGTAAACGAATATAATGATTATTCTTAGGTTGTATATCATATAGGTAAATATAAGAAATATAGTTAGTGGGGATTATAGTATTTAATTTTATTATTTTTTTAGTCTGAAGTCTGATATATACAGTTCGTATAATAGTTTTTTAATTTGTGTTTAATATTTTTATGATTAATTTCATTTTGAAAAGATATTGGTAAATGATTAATTAAATTCGGAACCATGTATTCTAAAGTATGTTTTCCGTATAAATTATTATAATTAGGTTTATCTAATTTTGGTTTGGCCGCACTGCGGGTTTTAGAATAGTTAGAAATGCCATATTTTTTTAAATCTTCATTAAAAAATTCTTCATTTAAGAGAGTATATTCTACTTTTTTATGCACCGGTATAATTTTGCAGTAATCGAATAGGTTATGGTAATCGGAATCCCTGTGTAAGTTTTTAATTTGGTCTGGGACTATAGTTTTTAAGATGCGAAGTTGCAATGAATAAATGTTATCTAAATGTGATTTGTAAGTTCGCCCATAACTAGACAAGCCATATGAAATTTTAGATTCAGCCAGTGATTTATATAATTGTAACAGAATTCTATAAGGGACTTTATACTTAATTATGGAGAATTTTGCTAATATGCTTCGAAGTCTATTACACACATCCTCAATATGATGTTTCCAGTTGAGTCGACTATCTATTATAAGTCCTAAGTAAGTTTGAGTTTCTACCGGCTCTAATTCTGCACAATGACAATTGAGAGTCAATTGTCCTTTGTGAAGGCATAGGTGGTCATGCATGATAATGCTAGGTATTACTTTACACCTATTGTGACTTGAACTTATATACATTAGCTTGGTCTTGTTAGCATTGATAACTAATCCTTTATCGTGAGACCATTGTGTTAATATATTAAGTTCTTCTTGCAGAATGCGGCCAGTTTCGTTAATATTTTCGCCTGCTGCAACGAGGCACGTATCATCAGCATACTGGTATATTTCGCAATGTCTGATGATGTTTGCCAGACTATTAACATAGGTGATGTAATGCCATGGTCCAATTACAGAGCCTTGTGTAGTGCCTACCGAAGAGTTAATATAATAACTAATGGCATCTCCCACTTTTACCGCATATTTTCTGTCATTAAGGTAATCTCTGCACCATGATAATAAAGGTCCTCTGATACCACTATCATTAAGACTGTCTATTAGCTTGTTATGATTAAGTGTATCAAACGCTTTAGTATAGTCTACAAAGATTACCAAGACGTGTCTTTTATTATCTAAATGTTTGTAAACGCTGTTAGTGAAGGTCGATAACAGTTGAGTGGTATTTTTCTTTGGTTGAAATCCATACTGTTTTTCCGTTATTATGTTGTTTTTAGCGTAGAAGTCATAAACCTGTCTGCAGATGTATTTTTCAGCAATTTTATCTATAACGGGTAAAATAGTAATTGGCCTATAGTTGTCATGCACCATAGGGCTACCCTTCTTATAGATAGGTCTAACTATGCCAGTTTTTAAAATATGGGGATACTTTCCACTTTTTATACAGGCATTAATAAGGTTTGCAATTACGTCACTGACTAAGTTGCATATTTTTTTTATGTCTATAGGTCGTATCCCGTCAATACCTGGCGCTTTATTACAGTTTAGGTTGCGTACTATTTTTTCTACTGCATTAGCATTAGCAGGTACAAAGCGTAAGGAGACATTCGTGTTGTCACTATACAATGACTTAATGGAATTGTTATTCAATTTTAAAATTTAAAATTTACCAATAAGAGTCCACTGCTGTACATAGGCCTCCCCCATAAATTGTATCATAGGGTAGATTCTGCCATACTTACAACGCCTTGCGGGCGGGATGGATGGCAATCACAAATTTTTATTTTCAGTTGTTTTCAAAAAGACGGTGCCGCCCATCTCCCGCTCCATCTCCCTCTGTCGCCTCTTACGACACCCGGGATAATATGGAGAACCGAATCATTCTTACTGCCGCTGCACAACTAAAACTAATTTTATAGCATATAATTATAATATATAGCATACAAGTAGTCATTCCGTAGATTCAAATCTGCAATTTGCAGCGCTGCTGTCAAATGCTAAGCATGCGCTGCCGAGCTGACCTAGAAACTTAATAAAGGCTAATCATATATTACGATTTTTTCAGAACGATATCGATTATTATGATCATAATCGAACACTCGTTACTGCCGTTTATTATCGCCCCAAATGATTCGCATGAACTGGAAAGGGTAATTATTTTTAATATATAAAATGTAAAGGCTTGCCCTCATTACGGTGAATTTTCGTACTTTTCTTTTTCTCAAAATCTATGAATTACTTATACAGATATAAATTCTGTGGATTTCTAAAGATTGAATATGAGAAATTGAGAGAATTGATAATGAGAAATTACACGTAAATCTAATGAATAAGGGAAGATTGAGTTTAAAAGAAAGTGACAAACCAATCAATTTGCTCCTTTCTGTAGAAGTGAACGGCAGAGAGGACAAGGGACGCCCTTGTCGGAATAAATATTGAAGATGGACCAAATTACCTTAAGAATAGTATTTTTTGGTAGATCAATTTCATAATATGTTAATGTTAAATACGAGTCGTGGTAACTAAGGAGCCGTGGTAACCAAACCTGATTCGATCCCCGCCACCACCAATGAAAGTGTTAATTACAATTTTAAGTGCTGATTTACCACGTGTTCGGCGGTGAAAAAAAAATCGTGAGGAAACCTGCATGTTTGTGAAATAAGAAAAAAATATATTTCGAGCACATTTGAAGTTCGCCAACACGCATTGGGGCAGCGCCTCGGACCATTCCCTTGCCCTTTAACCCTCAAAAATGAGCCTGTGCCCAGGAGTGGGATGTATATAGGCTGTAACTTTAATGTAAAATAAAAAGATTGTAAAATATCAGTGCCAAAGGCTTCTATTCCGTTTATCTATTAGACTCTATTGTTTTTATCAGACAGTAAAAAATAATCCAGTATAAATATAAAGTCATCATAATCATCATCATTACAGCCCTTCACAAGTCCACTGCTGAACATAGGCCTTCCCCAAGGAATATCACAAACCTCGGTTCTGAGGCACCTGCATCCATCGACTTCCAGCATGTCTTACTAGGTCGTTACTCCATCGTACGAGGCTCCCACTCGAGAACCTTTTTTCCATTTCTTTTTTTTTTGTAGTCGGTTTTTCGGTTTAAAGATCTTTATTTCTCAACAAGACAAACATTACTTATGGGTGAATCTTGAGAGGCTCAATTTACTCAGGAGAAAAAAAGTACCCGTAGTATTAAAATTGGAAACCAAAATATTATTATAGCTATAATATAAAGTATGATCTAACTGAGGCACGATATTTTTTGTGTCTAATTTGGTATAATAATATAGTAAAAAAATCCGAAAGGTCTAAATATTGATACCCCTGGCGCGTCCGCTTCATATTTCGCAAAAAACTTACCATCAAAGCACTTACTTATAAACGGAAATAAAATAAACAATGCTGTCTAATCGCTACCAGGTTTGTTGTTGGTATTTAACAAAAATATACCGTATGTGCATTTATGACAGTTTTATTAAGAATTATAATATAAGGTTTATCCGAGACTAAACAGTGATTCCCGTGGCGCGTCACTAAACTACGTGCATCCCTAGTGGAATGTTCTATAGGAGTGGATCCATTTCGTCGCATGACTGCTAATAGTAGCGCTTCGAACGTCGTTGTGGAGGGTTGCGCCGCTCGTTGGTTCAGGACGAAATTATGAAGGTAAATATTTGATTCCCTTGGTTTTGATTAGCTAGGTAGGTAATATGAGTTTTAAGGATTTGTTGTCGGGTGTTAATGGAACAGCTTTAATAATCGTTATTTATTTATTTCATTTTTATTATTTAAAACGTATTCTTTTTAACAGAATCGATAAAAACATCAAAAAGTAGGATGCTACTTTTTGATTCCATTGGCATTGATTCCCTTGGTATTTGCGCCAGTATGAAAAACCGAAATATTCCTAATTTTCAATGAAAACAAGAAAATTAGCGTATTATTTCTTACACATATATTTATTTTTTATCTGTTTTATCGATTAAAGATTATTATATAAATGTTTATATGAATATCTTAATGCCCTTGTTCGTCTCGCAAACAAAGCCCAAACCAACTACGAAACAAATTTTAGAGATCAGCTATGTTAAGTTTTTAAATCGCTTATAAACATATTTCAGATTTGAGCAATGCCTCCAAAACAATCAAGGCAAGAAAGGTTAGAGAAGAGACGACTTGCTGAGCGTCGCAGACTACAAGAAATTAAGAATAATCCCGAACTTAAAGCACAATTGCAAGAAAAAGAAGTGCAAAAATATTTGAAGAAAAAAAAATCTGTGAAGATTATACCAGTAGGTGAAATGAGTCCACGGCAGCAAAAACTTGCAAGAAAGAAAAGTAGGGAAAGTTCAAATCGTTACAACTAAAATAAAGAAACTTAGAAAAATCCAGGATCTTGAAGAAATAGTCAATTATTCGGATAAGGAAGATTCAGAAATAAATAGCGATAACAACGAAGATCCTCTAAGTCTGATTCCACCTCACTCGTATAATTCTTTTGCCATTGAATCATCGCCACCTCCAAGTCCCGATAGTGATATATACGCACCAACAAGTCGAAAATAAAAAAGAAAAAATCAACTCTCAAAAACGATTTATCGAAACATCAAAAACTAAAATGAAAACAGCAATTGAAAAGTTTTTCGAAGATGATGAAATTAGACTTTGCCCCGGAAAGAAAGAATATCTAACACGGCATAAAATTAGAAAACAAAAGCGATACCTAAATTTCAACTTGCATCAGTTACATCAAAAGTTCCTCTAACAGCATCCCGAGTATAAAATTAGTTATAGCTTTTTTTGCACCTTGCGACCATTTTGGACAGTGATTCCAAACGTCAGCGCCCGAGAGACGTGCCTCTGTATTGCTCACGAGAATATGAACCTAGCTATTATGGCTCTTAAAAGACACGGGATAATAGCAGAAAAATCGACGTATGATGTTCGTAAATTCCTGTGTTGTGATTCGAGGAATGTAATATGTTTGAGTAGAAACTGTGACTGCTGTAAAAATAGGCATTTGAATTACCAGGAATTTGATAATTCCGAGGGAAGCCACTACTGGTTTTGGACAAAGTCTAAAATGAAATATATCAAGAATGGACAAGAAAAGGTTACCATGCAATCATTGAAGCAAAAAGTATTAGCATATCCTAAAAATATAATAGAGCATTTTGAAAAATTATTAGAGCCATATATGTGCCATTGCGAAAATATTGTTGCTCAGAATAAATACATCAAGAATTTGAAGTCAAATCTGAAATCAGGAGAATTCATAGTACATTGTGATTTCAGCGAAAATTACAATACGAAATACGCTTCTGAGATACAGTCTTTTCATTTTGGGAGTTCAAGACAACAAGTGACCCTACACACTTCTCTCATTTATTATGTAAAAAATGAAGAAATTACCAGTAGTAGCAAATCATTTTGCACCCTGAGCGAGTGCTTACGACACGACGCTGTGGCAATTTGGGAGCACTTGATTCCTATCCTGAACTTCATTGAGAAGGAGGTTTCCGAAGTGAAGTTTTTAAATTTTGTATCTGATTCCCCATCTGCACAGTACCGTAACCGTAAAATGTTTTACGTGATGGCCAAACTTCATTGGAACTATCCAAATTTACGTCGCGTGGTTTGGAATTACTCTGAAAAAGGAAAGGGAAAGGGAGCTCCAGAAGGTGTGGGGGGAGTATTAAAAAGATGCTGATTGTTGCTCAAGGGAATGACATCCCAAATATTGAAGCCTTAATCAGCCATCTTAAAATTAGATGCCCGGGTGTTTCCATAGAGGAAGTTGTAGTGAATCAGACATTTTAGAAAAGGAATTATTGATCCCTTCAGATCTAAAAGAATTTCGTGGTACCATGGTAGTGCACCGAGCTATATAGAGCTGCAATAATCCTGAAGTATTAGCCATGAGGCGTCTTAGTTGTGATATGGGAATATGCTCTGAAGAATCAGTGCAATGTTTACATGGATAACATATTGGATTCTATAACATTGGGAATACAGCTTTAAGCAACAATACTTATTCATCAAAAACTAGAAAAATAATGCTATAGCTGAGTGCAGTAGAACATCTTTTGGAATTTCCATTTCTAAACCAGACCATGGACTGGATGAAATTTCAGTCGAAGACCGCCCTGACATTAATATACCGTCTGATGACAGCTTCTGGACTGATGTTCCTTCAATGAATGAAAATTTAACATCTGCCACCATGACCAAAACCGTATTAACAGCCCTCCGATTTTGAAGATGATCCATTGCGAAGAAGAGCTCAGATTACAACATTTTTTAGATTAAGTATTACCCTGATATAGATAATAGCTTTGATTAATAATCTGAGTGTAGTTGATTTTAAAAACAAAATATTTGTTTTGAGATATTTCTTTTTCAATTGTTAAGAATTATGTTACCGAAAATATAGATCGTTGATTTTTTATAATTTTTGCTAATATTGTTGACTTTAAAAAAGGAATAGTTTTAGTGTTTTAATTACATTTTCCTATTAATTTATAAGTGGTTAAGGTAAAAGTGCCAATTTCTACAACCAAAAGACTGACTAGTACTATATAGAGGTATAGACCTACTGTAAAATTATAATAGAACTTGAATTTCTTATATATCTTGTTTTAATTTTAATTCCCTTGTCGTGTTTTATTGATTCCCCTGGCCAAAAAAATTAAAATGCTATATTTTAGGGACCATCCGGCCAAAAGAGATGCCTGTTCGTTAAACGTGTTTAAAATTAAGTTAAATTTTATGTTACATTGTTACTTGCAAAAAATCTGTTTAAATAAATTTCGCCAAGGGAATCAACTGAATATGCCAAATCTCAGGATTCACCCTTATATGAGAACAATAACTATATAAACTTAGTAATAACAATTTTTAGTGCGGGTGTAAATAAAACTTTGTTGGATGTCGCGAATGTCTTTGTTGCTTATTCAAATTATATGGTTCACGTTAAATAACACGTTTTTTTACTTTTATTTAATAATGATTTAAATAATGATTTAGGTTAGGTATTTAGCTGTTGTGAGTATAGGTAGGCAAGTAACTTCTGTTTGAAAGTATTCATAGATTTCGCCTCCTTTACAAATTTAGGTAGTTTATTGTATAACTGTGCTCCCAACGTTATATTATTTTTACCATAGTTTTTTCTTATTGGCGGCAATACAAGGCGACGAGCTCCTCGTGTTATATATTTGTATGTTTGCTTCTTTGATAAAAAATTGAGTTGTGTGTGGATTAACTTATGTTTTATTTTGTATATTAGTATGTCTATATGTAGGTATAAAGTTGAGTAACGTTCAACAGTTTAGTTTCGTTATATATTGTTTTATTTGGTGTTAAAAAGTCATATTTATACAAAAATTTTATGATACGGTTTTGAAGCACTTGAAGAGGTTTAAGATTGGTTTTGGTTGCATTTCCCCATTCCTCTACAAGGTAAAGTAAGTGAGATTTTACTAGAGAGTTATTTGTTAGGATTCGGGCTTTTTTTCGGAATACATCGAACTATTTTGTGAAGGCGGCCAACGAGAGAGGAAAGTTTATTTTTAATATGTGTGCGAGATGTGCATTCCAAGTCAAATTAATGTCGAAAACCAGTCCAAAGTATTTTTCTTCGGTCGGTCGTTCAAGGTCGCAGTGATATTGGTTTCTTTTCCTATACCTGCATAGCTGCTGGCACATAATAAAAAAAGTATATTCAAAATATCCTTATTTTATTATATATATTAAGAAATAAACATTTTATAAAATTAATATAAATTTGATATTTATTTTAAGAAACAGTGAATGATTTAAAAATTTATGATCATGAGCAACAACATTATATCAATCATAATCACCATCATTTGTTGCGCTTAGAACGAATACCCTCCCATTTTTTTAGTTAGTCAAAAATTTGCCGGTACAGTCTCTTTTCACTTCCGCTAATTCCCGCTCGGGATGGGGGGGGTAGGTTTATTTCAGTTACGTCATTGTTTCGCCCAATGAGATGCGCATTTTGCTACGATGGAGGTGGGGACGGCAGAAGAGGAAAAACGACGAGCACCGCCGCTGCTCGTCTAGTTGCAACGTAGTTCCACCAGTCCCGAGACCTAAGTAAGAGGCCGCTAGCAGAACCACCTCGGTAGGTGCCTGTTCCTTTAAATCTTGAGCTGTTTTTAAACTATTACATAGCTTCTATCACGGGCCTTGAGTGCGGGGACCGAATCCAGAAATTCCGTAACGAAAAAAAACCTCACGCTCCCCACTCCGACGGGCACGGAGGTGTGGCGTTGAAAGCGTTCTAACGTCTAACGTCGTTTCAGTTCGGCAGACTTCGGCACTCGGCAGACTTCGGCACTCGGCAGACTTCGGCACGGTGTATGTGTGCGTGCGACTAGACGTATGCGTGTACACTAGCTGCTAACTCAATGATAAAAATTCCTGAATAACCTACATTTATTGTAAGATATTAAAAATATTTTAAACAATATTAACTTCTCATTTATCCGATAAGAAAAGAAAAAAAATTGTTTTCTTATCGGTCACCACGCTCAAAAAGTGTAACTTGATTTAATATCAAAGACTTAACTGCATAAATAAAATAAATAAATAATTATAATTGCATAAGTTGATAAAAAATGCTATGCAATAGCTTTACCGTGGCAGTCACCGAATGCCACACGTATTTTTTTCTATTTGTTGTTCTTTCCTTGGCAGCCCATGTTTTTCATCGTGCCGGCTAATATAGTAAATTAGATTATAGCAAGTATATTTTCCAAAACCCGTCACGTGCCACATCCGCCATTTTCTTTTGGTTATAACTAACTATGCATATACAGTCCACCGTTCGGTTCAACCCAGAACACCTATTGTTATTCTCGCACCCAATAATTTTGGGGTCACTATTCCCGGAATTGAACCCGGGACCCTGTGGCCCAACCAATCATCATCATCATCGTCATCATCATCATCATCATAAAAGCCCTTCAGAAATCCACTGCTGAACATAGGCCTCCCTCGATGAATGCCACAAAACACGGTCCTGAGCCACCTGCATCTATCGACCTTCTGCATGTCTTACCGGGTCGTCACTCTATCTAGTAGGGGTCGCCCTACACCACCACTACGGGTACGAGGTTGCCACTCGAGAACCTTTTTTATCCCAACGTTTGTTGGTTCTATGAGTTATATGGCCGGCCCATTGCCACTTCAGCTTACTAATCCGTTGAGCTATGTCGGTCACTCTGGTTCTGGACTGCGGATATCCTCATTTTTAAATTTATCACACAAATAAATCTCGAGCATAGCCCTCTTAATAGCTCGATGGGCAACCTTGAGCGTCCTCATGCGGTCAGCAGTGAAGGACCACGTCTCAGATCCATAAGTCATCACAAATCCATACGAAGAATACATAGAATCGCTCGAGGCGAGGGGGTGAGGGTCGGGTGCCGGGTGGCTCTAATGAGTTGACCTTTAGGAATTCGTAAGAGGCGACAGGCCTTTATCGTATCGTCGATTTTTTTTACAGATATATAGTTGACAAACGAGAACGCAGTAACTGATGGAAAGTGAATGCTGTTGCTCATAGAGCGTATCTTTTCCAGAAAAATTCATAATAAAAAACTTCGGTTGTCTACGCGCCAAATAAATAAGTTAGAATACGTTGAGCTAGAGCTAGAATACCGTGTAATGGTGGTGTAAGAATATCTACTACCTTATGTGATTCGGTGGGTGTCGTAAGAGGCGACGAGGGAAACAAATCAGATGGGCAGCAGTGCCTTCCTGATAACGACTAAAATGAAAAAGTGTGGTTGCCAACCCGCTTGACAAGCGTGGCAACTTATAAGCTTGCGATCCGCTCCGGCTTCTCATGGATAGAATCTATAAATGTCGCTTGTAAACTTGTAATTTAGATTTAAGGTAATTAAATACCATTTTGTTTCATTACAATTTCGTTTTTTTTTTTAGTAAAATGCCCAAGTTTTTGACCTAAGATACCTAAGTTTTATTGGAATATTACTTATATAGAGTAGATCAGTCCGGCATTGCTCTCATTTATTTGTACAGTATTATTAAAAAAATTGCAAAACCAATGACCTCAACCTCAGTTCAATTTAAGGCAATATAAAGCATTTTGAAACAGACACTTCAACTTTATATATATTTATATATATAAGCGAACCGTCTCTGTTTTCACCGGCGCTCTATTAATAATATTATTTTAAGAATATTTTAAGAAATTCTAAATCAGTTTTGTATTAATTGTAGGGTACAAATAATTTTATTTAGTTATTTTATTTATTATGTAATATAGTTTAATTATTTAATTTATCTTATGTCCTATATTCTAAATAACATAGTGTAAGTCATGGTCTGAAACACAGGTACTCAACCTAGTTCAGACAGGTAGCTAATATTATAAACTTCGGTTTTCAATTTTTCTTTTGTAGATTCTGCATTATAAGCTACACATAGTTTTAATGTTTATTATTGCATGTTATTTTTATAAGGCTTATAGTTACTTTCTTTAATTGTAATCATATTTGTTACTCTATGTAAACATGTGTTTAAAAATGAAATAAAAATTATTATTATTATTGCTTATATTTTAGAATATCTAAAATTATTTGTTTTATCAGTTTTGTAAGCTTTTTTGAGAAAATGTATAAGTTATTCGGATAAAATATAGCCTTGACTACTCTTGGCAATGTTTTTTAACTTTATGCCTGTTTGTATGGAACTTCCGAATCCAGGACAGACAGACAAAACTTTTAAAAATGTTAATTAATTAACTACTTAATCATATTTAAATAACGCCTTTAGCATTGTGCTATTTATAGCGCATATATTTCGATAATACAGACAGATATTTAAATTATAAATATGACAAAAAATTTTAATGTTTCCAGAAATACAATTACATTTTATATCATCTGTTTATCGACGGCGGGCTGATGGTTCAAACATTCTTCGTGATGTCTGGATGCTTGCTTTCTTACAAGTTGCAGCTATATGCGGAGAAGAGAGACATAAATTGGACTATGATACCAAAATGGATTCTTCAGAGATGGCTCAGGTAAATTCAGTTATCAATAGGAGTAGAAGTCATAACAGACTTCACAAGTCCTCTGCTGAACATTTACAGCCCGAAGGAATGCCACAAAACAATCTCCTGAAGGCACCTATCGTTATCCCGTCTTGTGTAAGAAATTAAAGTGCTGTAAAGCGTTATAAGCCTTGTATTGGTGGTGTAAGAATATCCTCTACCCCATATTGTCTCGTGGGTGTCTTAAGATGCGACAGGAGGAAACTAATACAGAAAATCACATACAGGCAGCATCTCCCTTAGAACAATTCAAAATAATACAAAACTACAATTGTCAACCTGCCTGCCTATCGCAGTAACCGTGACAAAGTCCTATGCAATATATGGGAGATCGCTATGTTCAGCAGTGGGCTTCAATGGGCTGTGACATGCTGGAAATCAATGGATCCAGGTGGCTTAAGATCATCCTATGTTCTGCAGTGGACTTGTAAAAGGTTTAGTTGCAGGTTCAGATTGCTGACCATGAAGTCCCGGATTCAAATCCGAGTTGGGTCAAAACCAGTTATTATTATCTGACTTCTTTTTCTTTAAAAAAAATTGCCCACGTAAAGTTATTAAATGAAAATTTATTTAACTCTAAAATTGGAATTGATTAGATGGCGGTGACGTTATTTGAAAGTTTATTCACTAGATGGCGCCACTAGTATTTCAAAACACACTATTGTTTGACCCGAGTATTTGACACTAGTTGTGTCAAATACTCGGGTTTAAATGGGAGCTTAGTAGTGGGAGCTTAATAGCTCTAGGATTGACTTTCGTTTTATTTTAATCGTAAAGCCATTGAGCTTCCAGGTACTAAAGCACTAATATTTAAAAAGTTATAATGAACGGTTAATCTCATGTTGAAGTCAATGACTAATGGTCGGTACATACGACAACGATTTATCGTTGCAAACTGACTGCGCAGATCATTTGTGCAGTTTTATCGAACGTGTGTACAAAATCGGCGCAGATTTTTTGATTGGTGCAAGCCATCGGAGCAAGGTTTAAAATCTAGTCGATAAATCGTTGTCGATCGCATTTGCACAGTTTTATCGTAGTGTGTGTACGGAAGTCGGACCAATCATTCAGTTCGTTTGCAAGTTCTTTCGTTACAGGAACGATTTGACTGAGAGCCTCTTTTGATATCAACGTAGAACTCTTCATACATTTGTACGAGCGACCTGTAGCTAAAACCTCAGATTTGCAGATAATATTTCATGAGAACTTATTGCTTCTCTCATTACGGTATTGCGGTGTAACTAAAAACATGAGGTGTAAGTAAGTCTCTTCATTCATCGTCAAATATTTGTACCAGTCTTATGAGGAATTTCAACTCTTTTAATAAATTTATGTGAGAGTATGACTTTTTTTTAGGAAGCCAATCCTTATACCACACACTACGTGATTTTCTTTTCTTTTTGCACAAAAACAAGCCATTCGATCCATCACAAATGACGTGTTTTTCTTTGGCGTTTCTGCGATCCATCACGAATGACGTGTTTTTCTTCGGCGTTTCTGCCGAGAACTGACGATCGACGCAGATGTATTAGACGTGTGGACGCACTACCTTACTGCAACTTTGTTGCCGTGTATACCGGGCTTAATACGTCCACCAAACACTATTACTGCTATAGGAGAAGAACGATAACTTCATATCATACAAAATATAAGAAACGATATGATGTATAACAGAGAGTACTTTGTATAATAAACTGAAAATATATACCCACTATCTCCATCTATCATCAGCCTACCTGCACTTGTCTCGTGTGGCGGGAAAATATAAACGTGTCTCTTTTTTGGTTTTTTTTTTGAGGTATTTTTTGAGTCCTAGCGTAGTTTTGAGTGAGAAAAATTACAAAATTTGTATTTATTTATTCAAAATAAAAATACAAATTAAAATTGAAAAAACATACATAACTTAAGACAAAATTTCTCCAGCAGCTTATTTCTTTCTATAATGACATTTGATGAGTTGAGAGAAAAAAAAATCAGTATTGATTACAATATTTCAATTACTTATGTAAAACAATGATAAACATAATATATAAGATTTACAATCATGAATGATTTGATAATATACACATATATAACAAACACAAATTAAAGAATGTCTACAATAACCAAAATATCAATATTTTAATCAAAAACAAGTTAATTAATAAATAAGCTCCTATACACAAGTGGAAATGCAATGTGATCCACAAATAATAATTTTGTTTTGATAATATTTGGTTGTCTATCTATTTCCCTGATGTACACTACAATTTTTCTTTATATTTTATGTAATATATTAAGTATTAAATGCAGCTTATAAATAGAATAATTATAATTCAAAATTATAAAACATATTAAATATTAGATTACAAAAAGTTTCCTTATGTAATTTTAAATTTTTAATATAGAGTACTTTCTTTTTGAGGTTCAACATTATCTGATAAGCCATGATATGTTTGTGGTTGTTTTTCAGTGGATATAATGTTGTCCCTTTTGAAGATCTTCAGTAGCAGAAGAAATTCTCAGTAGCAGCCCGGAGTCAAGAAATAAGCGGTTTATCTCAGGAGATCACGTAACACTAGAAGTCTGTCATCAGCAGACGGCTAGTCTCCGTTGAGACTGGCCGTCTGCTGACTGACAGAGTTCAGGCAAATTCATGGAAAATTCTTGAAAATGCCCGTATCACATTATAGACTGAAACGGCTGGCAAACAAAGACCAGGATAACAGTAACTGTTTCTGGCACTTTTGTTTCAAATTTTTATATAGCAGAGGCACTCTTTGCTCCAAACTATATTACGGTTAAAACACAAATCAGTTGGTTTGAAGGAATTGGTCGAGGAAGGACCACGCTCTCTCAGAATATCATAGTAAAACAGCCACACAAAGCTGCAACCTGCCTTATGAAATAGACTGCAATTCAACTATCTTTAGTTACATACATAAAAAGGAAACTATTATTGCTTACAGATTGACGCCATCTTATGCTCTAGTACTTGCGATCACTACAACGTGGCTGAGATTTGCTGGGTTGGTACCTCTATGGCAGGTATAGCAACTTGATTGAAATTAATAACTATAGCTAACGCTGGGGTGCAAGAACTTTATTAATTTCACCATGCAGTGGCAGCATAAGGAAATTCATTACCCTGTATCATCACGTGGGTGTTGTAGGAGGCGACAGAGAGAAATGCAACTGGAGATTGGCAGCAGCTTCATTGTGAAAAGAACTCTACTTCTCCTTCTTCCTGTCCTTATTCCAAGTTATTTGGAATCGGTATAGCATGCGTTCTGTTCATTCGGTATATCAGTCGTTACCTCTTCACACATTCCTTTCGTAGGCATATCCGGCATATTAAAAGCCGAAAACAGATGATTGGAATGACCCTTCATATTTTTTAGGCCCTGCCTCTACTCTCATATGTTCTAATATGTTAACAGCTCAAAATTATAAAAAAGTGTGGGTGCCAAACTGCCTGCCAAGCGTTGCAACTTTGACTAATATCTACAGGAGTGACTTATGCAGTGAAGCTTCGATAAACTGTAATGAATCACAAATAAATGAAGGAACACACTTTTTATTTAAGTACCAACGTCATGATGTACCCAGCTATTTAATGGACGAATGCATCGCGAAAGACAAGATGACGGTATACTCTAAAATATATAAACCAAATCCTGAAAGGAATAAAACGACCAATTCGAGTGCATTGACCGTCTCATTGGTCTTGTAGTCGTACGCGATTGCTAACCATGTAGTACCAGGTTGAAATCCGAGTCGGGCCAAAATCAATTATTGTTATTTTCTGTCTGTTTTCTTGGTCACTGCGTTACGTCTGAGGTGATGGGGTTTTTTTCAGTCTCCGTTAAGACTGACCATCTGCTGGCTGACTGTGAATTCAGGCAAATCTATGGAGAATTCTTGAAAATGCCCGTATCACATTATAGGCTGACAAACAAATACCAGGATAACAGTAACTGTTTCTATCGCTTTTATTTGATCTTTTTTAAAATACAAATCGAGCGTGGTCCTTCTTCGTTCGAATCAGTTGATTCGAACGAGGAAGGACCACGCTCTCTCAGAGTACTATAGGAAAATAGCCGCACAATGCTGCCGTATTTTGTATGGATAGTGTAGTGAATTGTATAGTAGTAATCCTCAGGGGTGACAACTTATCTATATTTTCATTCTAAATCGAGTATAATGTCTGTAGGCCATAATATTAAAAACAATAAGGTGAACTGAATATGTTTTTCTAAATATGTGCATGTAATGAACTAACCTACTCGCGTGGACTTGAGTGTGTGCTACATGTATGCATGCTAATGCTTTCTGCATTGTAAATATATACGTGTAAAACATATATTAAACTTAATAGGGTGGTAGATTATCCTACACCGCCACCACACTGCAAAACGAAAAATATACCCAAGCACGTTTCGTAAGAAATCACGATATTTGTAAATCAAGCCGTTTGTCAAATAAAATTTATTGATTCCTTTCAGAGGGCAGTGGGTGTTGAAGTGAAAGACTGTCGTCGGGATGGCTGGCTGAATTTGATTTACCTAAATAATTACATTGATGAATCACAATGTATGCCTCAAACCTGGTAAGGAACTATTGCCATTACAGTAATTTGCCATTGCAATTGCCATTAAATTAAACGGATTAGTAAACTGAAGTAGCAATGGATCGGCCGTATAGCTCGAAGATACAACGACCGGTCGGGAAGAAGTTGCAGTCTCGTAACGGTAAACAAAGCTGGGTCTGCTTTTTACTAGAAGGAGTAACGATTGATATAAGAAATACGGAAAGTTGATGATACAGGTGGGTACCCATAATATGTGGTATTTATTTCTTGGAGATGACCTGTTTCCATCATTGACTTGTGAAGGGCTGTAACGACGATGAGTGCTAAATTAGATTTATATATATGATAAATTGCCTATTAGCAAAACCTGTGAAATATCATATAATTTTCATCATTTAAAATTGATCATTTGGATCAGTTTTAGTCGCTAGACGTTTCAAGTTCACAGAAAACGAGCTAAGATTTCCAAGTACAAACTGGGACTTTTCAATAATATTTGAAAAGTCTATTAGTCATGCGTTTTTTAAGAATCCCATTTGAGCAATCTAGCGTTGTGTTCAATTTTTGGAGAAGGATGAGCGTGAAGGGACAAATTGTATATCTTGTTATTGTTGTTACAAGTTTTATACGTCCCAATGTAAGCATAGGTTTCTTTCTCGTTTCTATGAGAGTTATGAAGCACTTTATCCACAGCGCTTCTACAGTGCATGTTGACGAAGGTAACAAACATGCTTCTAAAATATTATGTTTGATACAGAGACAACATAGACAGGTTCCCTTGCGATGTTTTGCTTCGACGTAGAACACGTGGTAAATCAGCACTTAAAGTTATAACTAAAAATATCATTGGTGCCAGCGGGGATCGAACCCGAGTAGCTCGCGTACTGCGATATTATGGCGAGTGCTATGCTAAGTTAGTTTCTCAGCTACCATGCCGGCCACCTTAACCGCCCCTTTGGTTTCTTCAAGAATTTAGTAAGGGCATTTAATAATAAAAGTATAAGTACAAATCCTAGAAAAAACAAATAGCCAATCATAGTATAGCTGCTGCAGCCAACGTCAAGCAAATAGTACTTGGTTGTTACTATACTAGTTCTTCTTACTCAAACTGGAACGCAATAGTATACTTATGTGGTATGTATACTTGGTATAGTATTGTTATATATATAGTTGTGGTATAGTATACTTCTTGTCTATTTTTTATAGAATAGGGCGACAAACGAGCACACAGTCCACCTGATGGTAAGTGGTTGCTGTGGCCCATAGACATCTACATCTATCCTCGATTACGAATCAAAATGCAGACGTGTTGTCACCCGTGAGGACTTTTTTACTAATGCCTCGTTTCCAGTAAAAAAGGTCTCCGGTTCTCTCCACTCACCATACGAAACAGTATCATTAAGCTGCTATTTCACGCTGGTATTCTGTGACAGCGTGGTCCTTCCCCGGTCGAGCCGACCCATTCGTGCTACAACGATACTACTAATATAACTGCAGCATGGCTCTACCACGTAATAAATATTATATTATATACTTTTTGTCGGCTATAAGTTTTAAATTTTCAGGTATATTGCATCTAACATGCAACTCTACGTCTCATGTCTCATCATACTTACGCTAGTAACGAATGTTACTGCCAGGAAGATTGTTCTAGCCGTACTATTCGTTGTCAGCCTTATTATTCCTGCTTGTCATACGTACATTCAGAACTCGGATGCTGGACTTATCATCTCCACCGAGTAAGTTTTGTTATTTTTAGTATACGAAATGCAAAAGAGTATAAAATATAAGAGAATATAAGGACACCTGCAAGGAAAAACATCGTTACTCATTTTTTAGATCATATTCTTAGTAATTGACAATTTATCTTTCATTTGCGCTCACCCCTGTATCTAAATTCATTCGCGTTACGATTTTGGCCAGTAGAAAAAAGTTGTAAATCAGCGTCCACTGATGGTAATAAAAAGGTATATTTAGTTACACGTACTTAGCTATGCCTGACATTAATTTATTACATAGCAATAATTGTAATACAAGATGCCTTTTTGTTTTTGGCAATAATTCTTTCGTATAAAAAAATATTTAATTGTAACTATAGTTACGCTGTTTTAATATTTAAGCAGAAAAGAAAAATATCAGCCCAAAAATGGTAACATAAGTTACAATTTTTGTTCTCTGCAATAATTTTTGTGTGGTGTTTATTCCACAATATGTTAATAAACTTACGATGCATAGATTCTCGGTCGCCTCCTCAGGCTGCCCCTCTCACGCTTTGCATGCAATATTGGAATGGGATTGTTTTAATATGAAAACAGTTTGCAGCAAAGGGAAATCTCCTAAGCTTCAAGCTAAATGGGACGGACCGTACCGGATTGTGACATGGATCAATGACGTAGCCTACCAGATACAGAAAGGTGCAAGAGATACTCCTAAGATATATAACATAATGCTCGGGACGACCATGTATGAGAGGGGGCAGTGTTGCGCGCCATAATTAATGCCTGGTACACGGCGAGTTACCACTAGCGCCATCTAGTATCGAGTATCAGAACTAGGAGAGTCTAGATCTTTCTATAAAATTCAATGCCAGAACTTTCTACACCTAGTTAGTCGGGACCAGTATGTGCCCGAAATTCTAGATGTTTAAGTACAAGAGGCCCTATATAAAGCCGATAAATAATGCGACCGAGAGAGTATTGAATTGGCAATTCAAGAGAATTCTTGGAAGCGTCATAACTGCGAACTAAAGTGATCAGTAGCACAATTGTATTTTATTATTAGTGTGATTTAAGTTGAAATTGGTGTTCGGGAATTAAAGTGTCAATTTGGTAATTCAATCGGCGGTTTTTATTGTCACGAACCCTAATTCGTAGCAATATGAAAGTAGCGAACTTAATGCAGTGTAGCGAAACTGCCTTATACTAGTTTTCTTTTCTTTTATCAGCTTTTTACGGTTCGTATCTATATCACAGAGTTTTTGCTCCTATCTGCTGAATAAAGTACTAGAGTGGGCGTTACCTGTCCCGACGAACCCTAGACAAAAAACGAGTACTAGCCCCAGTGTATTAATTTAAAAAACCAGATTTTCATCACTTGTCTGCAGATTTTGTGTTTAGTACATTGGGTTAGATTTTTAACCACCAGTTGATTATAAAAGTTTAATCTATCAGTCGGCAGAACGTACAAAGTGAAGGTGATATTGGCAGCAAAGAAGAAAAAGTAATAAAACTATTATTACCCTTTATACCACCTGTGCTTACGCGTGCTTGGAAGATTGGCCATTGTTACCGAAATTCGGTCTGAAGTACATTATTAATACTATAATCACTTTCAAAAGTGGGAGAAACTTTTTCCGCCTGTGAATTGTTATATAGGATAACCTTTTTATTAATGTAATAATGGGTGCGTTTGGCAGAAAAAAGCGCTAGCAAGCGCTTATAAGCGCTGAAATAGTTTTCGGCCAGGACACGATTGCTACTTCGGTAGCGCTGACACAATCCGCCATTTTGCTTATTTAATTTTGTTTGTTTTGAAGCAGAGTTTATAAGTTGTTTTGTGCAATATTAGTTTTAAGTAATATAATGACATGAATAAACATATACATGTTATTAAAAATTCATGATTGGTAAGTTTTTAATATGAATACTTTACAAACATATATTTAAATTAGGTTAGGTTTCCCGGTTAAAACTAACATCGTGTCCTGGAGGAAAATAGCTACTTACAATTTGACAGCGCTTACCGCTTACGATCGCCATTTTGCTTACAAGTGCTTGCTAGCGCTTTTTTCTGCCAAACGCACCCATTGATTGACTAAACTAAATATAAAATATCAAAAATAATATATGTGCTTTTTGTTTTCAGGACAGTTCGTGATTATTTCGTTAAAGATCGAAAATTCAACTACTCATACAAAAGTGAGCATACAAACTTTTCCAACTACATATTGGGTCTCAGCTTGGGAATGTTGATTTATTACTTGCAAAAAAATGAGTTCAGTGTCGAAAAATACAAGGTTAATAGATTTGGATTTTTTTGACATAATATTTGTTGCGTATGCAATGAAGTTAGTAATTTATAGTTCGAAGTTTTATAAATTTTCTTACCATTTAGAAATCTAAATTCAGTTTATATCTCATTTAATTCGTATATATATATTTTATTTCAGAAATTCAAATTGGTTTATTGGGCAACTCTTCCAGCTATGCTTATATTATTGCCTTCTGGATCATTTTTCTATTTCTTTCAAAACAGCTCTGCACTATACATTAAAGCCATATATTCAGGTGTCGCAAAGCCCCTATTTGGATCAATAATAGTTTTAATTATTCTTGGAATGACGTTCAAATTGGAAAGTAAGTAAAATTTATATTTAAGTGCCACACTTCAAAAGTTAAAATAACAATTTTTACATTTCGTTTCAGCGAAGACAGTCATAATTACAATTGATTGCATGTAGGAATTTTACAGTGGTAGAGCCACGCGGCAGCTTTGCTGTTGCACGTATGGGCCGGCTCAAACCGGGGTGGTACCACGACCACACAGAATACCGGCGTAAAGTGGAAGTTCTGCTTCCGCGTTTCGTCTGGTGAGTGCAGGTGGCCGGAGGCCCAAATCCCCCCCCATCAACATGAATAGAATGATTAAGAAACATAAAATAATGATAGAATACCCCAGGAGGGTACCAGCACCCCTGGAGAATCCCTCGCTGAGCATCCTCGACCATGTTTCTCCACTTCTGAGCGTGGGTGCTCAGGCTGCCCCACGTATTCTGGGGGGGGGGGGGCAAAATTCCGCTCAAGACTACAACTGCTCGGGGCAAACGGAGCAACAAGACCAAGGCGACCCCTGCCACGCTGTCCGTGAATTTCTGCAATATCAGGGGACTTCACTCTAACCTAAACGCCGTCCACTACCATCTCGAGACGGCGAAGCCGGCTCTGCTCTTTCTGACCGAGACGCAGGTGTCCTCTCCGGCTGATGTCTCGTATCTCTCCTACCCGGGGTACCAACTGGAACACTCCTTTGTGCCTCGGGCTGGAGTTTGCGTTTACGTCAGAGAGGACATCTGTTCTCGACGCCTCGGCAGACTTGAAAGTTCGGACCTGTCCATCCTTTGGCTACGCGTAGACAGCGACGACCATCCGCGCGTCTACGGGTGCCTCTATAGGTCCCATAGCGGTAATGCCGAAACAGACCGACACTTCGACGACGTCCAAATGGCTGCAGATTCGTTGCTACAGCAGATCCCCTCCGCTGAGATCGTGATCCTCGGCGACTTTAACGCCCATCACGCCGAATGGCTTGTTTCACGTTTAACCGATCATGCGAGGAGATCTGTTCATGATTTTGCCTTGGCATATGGTCTGACACAACTGGTTTCTTCGCCTACGCGGATCCCAGATGTGGAGGATCATGCACCTTCCCTGTTGGACCTTCTGCTGACCTCTCACCCGGACGGATATCAGATTTCCGTCGACGCCCCTTTAGGCTCCTCGGATCATTGTCTGGTCCGGAATGTTGTGCCACTCACGCTGAAATTGCGGTTGCATTCTGCAGGTGGCCGCCGTGTTTGGCACTATAGGTCAGCCGATTGGGATGGGATGCGGTCTTTCTTTGCATCCTACCCTTGGGGGCGGGTTTGCTTCTCGCCGGATGATCCCAACGTTGTTGCGGATTCTGTTACTGATGTGGCACTTCAGGGTATGGAAACTTTTATTCCTTCCTCTGTGGTGCACATTGGAGGCAAATCTCAGCCATGGTTTGGTCGCTCCTGTAAAATAGCATCGTGCTATAAGCAGGAGTGCTACCAAGCCTGGGTTGATGCATCAGCGTCCCGGGATGTAAACACCAGCGCTTTAAAAAAGAAGTATAATTCCGCCTCTAGGTCCTTCAAAAGGGTCATTGCCAACGCAAAGTCAGAGCACATAGGCAGAATTGGCGAGAAACTAGTTCGCCTTCCTTCTGGAACCCGGGCATTCTGGTCTCTCACCAAGGCTGTCCAGGGGAATTTCTGTCAGCCACCTCTTCTATCTCTGCACAGGGAGGACGACTCACTGGCCCATACTGCAAAGGAGAAAGCCGATCTTCTAGGCTCTTTCTTTGCGTCTAACTCGACTCTCGGATACGGGGGAGTACGCCGCCGACCATCCCGCGGTGTGAGTGCTCCATGCCGGAAGTGCAGTTCACACAGCGCTCGGTTCGCAAAGCACTCCTCTCCCTGGACATCCACAAGTCGAGTGGGCCTGACGGAATCCCCCCAATTGTGCTGAGGACGTGTGCCCCAGAGTTGGCACCGGTTTTAACGCGTCTTTTCCGGTACTCCTACTCCCTAGGCGTAGTCCCAAAATCATGGAAGACGACTTTCGTCCACCCGATCCCTAAAAAAAGGCGACCGCTCAGACCCGTCCAACTACTGGCCAATCGCCATCACTTCCTTGTTCTCCAAAATAATGGAGTCCATTGTAAACTGCCAGCTCATGAGGTACCTTGAAGATCACCAGCTGATTAGTGACCGCCAATACGGTTTTCGCCGTGGTCGGTCAGCTGGTGATCTTCTGGTCTACCTCACTCACAGATGGGCGGAGGCAGTAGAGTTCAAGGGGGAGGCATTGGCCGTTAGTTTGAACATTGCGAAGGCCTTCGATCGGGTTTGGTACAAAGCGCTTCTTTCGAAGCTCCCTTCCTATGGTCTTCCCGAGAAATTGTGCGATTGGATCACCAGCTTTCTTGCAGATCGGAGCATCAAGGTCGTTGTAGACGGTGCAAGCTCCGATTGCAAGCCTATTAATGCTGGTGTTCCACAGGGCTGCCTGCTATCGCCAACGCTGTTTCTTCTGCATATCAATGATATGTTGCATACCCGTAACATTCATTGCTATGCAGATGACAGCACTGGTGATGCTCTACACCGGCTGAGCCAATATTTCTCGGGAAAACGTATCCGAGTGCCGGGACAAACTTGTGTCTGAAGTCGAGTCTTTGCTGAACAGAGTCTCGGATTGGGGACGACTAAATCTAGTCCAGTTTAACCCCCAGAAGACAAGTTTGCGCGTTAACTGCTAAAAAGAACCCCTTTGTCGTATCCCCTCAGTTTCAAGGCACTCCCCTTGTTGCCTCGGCCAGTATCGGAATCCTCGGTGTCGACATATCGAGTGACGTGCAGTTTCGTGGTCACTTGGAAGGGAAGGCCAAATTGGCCTCTAAAAAGCTTGGCGTGCTCAGCAGAGCGGGACAGTATTTCATGCCGGCACACCGCCTGCAACTTTACAAGGCGCAGGTTCGGCCGCACATGGAATACTGTTCCCATCTCTGGGCTGGGGCTCCCCAGTACCAGCTCTTTCCACTTGACCGCATCCAGCGCAGAGCGGCTCGAATCGTCGACGACCGAGTGCTTTCCGATCGGCTCGATTCACTGGCGCTGCGAAGAGATGTTGCATCTCTTTGCGTATTTTATCGTATCTATCACGGGGAGTGCTCTGAGGAATTGTTCGGATTAATTCCAGCCGCCAAATTTCGTGAACGCACTACACGGCAAACGTCCCGATACCATCCACACCATCTGGATGCTTGGCGGTCCACCACTGTACGTTTCCAAAGGAGTTTTCTTCCACGTACAACCTCTCTGTGGAATAGTTTACCACCGGCGATTTTTCCGGACCGATACGACCTGGGGACCTTCAAGAAAAGAGCTTACTCCTTTCTAAAGGGCCGGCAACGCACCCGCAATTCTCCTGATGTTGCGGTTGATCATGGCCGGCGGTAGTCACTTAATATCAGGTGAGCCGCATGCTCGTTTGCCCCTTCTACTATAAAAGAAAAAAAAGGAATGCCTGGTGTTCATTAGTGCCTGTGAGAATCCATAATGAGACGTAGTTTGAAAAACTGGCAGGAAAGGCTGAATAATATCCAATAAACATGATAAGCATGTCGAATATTATATGAAGGCTTTAAAAATTTTGCTGATATCAAGTATTTTTCGCAAGTTATGGCGGCAATGGAGATCATCATCACTCAATATCGAACCGTGGAATTTGTAGGAAACTAGTATGGAAAAGGCCAGAAAGTTTCCATGACCTCCGAAAAATTCACGTAAATAGCAGTTATTAAACAACCAGACTGACAATAGTAAGCAGCGCATGAGCGTGAGGATTACGGCATATCCTTTTTTACAATTAGAGAGACTTATGTACAACAGTAACAAAGAATAATCAACAACAGCAATCATAGGATAGGGTTGTAAACTGAGCGAATAAGCTAATATTTTTCAACGTAGGAAATAACCAACAACGGGTTTTGTTAAAAAGTTTATTGTTAAAAACATATCAACCCTAGACATTGTCCTTTTCTGTAATAATGATGATCAAGTGATGTTCAATACAGTTTTTGATGTGTGACTTTAGTAAATATTTATATTTTTGCAGATTTTTACAGAGGAATATTAGAATGGAATGGCTGGACATCACCAGCTCGAGTTTCGTACTCTGCCTACATCCTTCACGTTCTCTTCGTCCGATCTTTAACTGGGACTAGGAGCACCCTGATACATGTATCAATAGCTCATGTAGTAAGTGTATTTTTATTATTGACAAATTAATAATCAATTGCATATACACTTTAAGATGGTATTATGGAAGCGTAAGAGAATTGAAAAAGACTTTCACACGGAATGTTGGGTTCTCAAAGGGCTGACCAAGTAGCCCGGCAAGAGATCTCAACATTTCCTTTCCCGGCCAGTGACAACCTCGTTGTAATATGCAGTTCAGTCCATTTGGTGGTAAGTGGACGCTGTAGCCCAGAAACTCCTGCATATATTCTTTAACTAAGAATCAAAATCCAGATACATTGTCACACCTCGTGAGTAACAAGGAATGGTTAATTAACATAATAAAAAGTAAGCCTTACAGTTCTCGTCAGATACAATACGAAACACAACAGCGTTATGATGATATTTTACACTGTTATTGTGTATGAACGAGGTTCTTCCCCCGCTAATGTTGCGGACAAAATACGGTTGCAGCGTGTTATTAAAACGGAAATTGTAGTTTTAATAAGTTTTTATGATTACAAAATAAATAAAAACCAGCTTTGATAAAATAAATATTAAACTGGATTTTGCATAATCTTATCAAACGGATGTTGTTAGAGGTAAGTAAAATAAAATGCCCAGAACTTCTGTGACCTCCGTTAGATGACAGTATAACTATATCAAATTTAAAAGACTTAAATCGGTGATCAGATCAGCGAGAGCAATTTGTGAATACACTTGTTACTACGTTTGTTATACGTATCGATTATCCTTACCTTAGAAATTCTGAAATCTACAAAAACTGATTCTTAGAAAACGTAATGCGGTTAATTTCTCGTGATATTAAGTAACAAATGTATAGGGTTATTTTGCAATAACCAGCCAAATTTGCAAGGAAGGTTTAGAATGAGTAATATAGGCAAATGGTTAAGAAAAACTAAATCAAAAAGATCTCAAAAATTCGGATTTTTATCTTTTAAATTCAAAATGCGTGGTAATGAATTATTTTAACTGATTGTGAACACACATTCGGAAGGGCGGATCGGTAGGCAAAAACGTTGTTGCTCATAAATCACATTCAATTTTAGATAATTTTAAATAAAAATATAAGTCTCACTTGCTAAACTAAAGTTTAAATATGGCTACTCTTTAAAAATAACCCAGTATAATAATATTATTTAATCATCTGGTGACATTGTTATGGTGAAAATTATCAACAATAGATCGATAAAAAATCGCATAATATTACAAAATCAGTTACAACTCATTTGGTGGTAGCGCTAGGAAGATTTAGGTATAAATGATCCAAGAGATCCGAGAGATATAAAAATACCATTTATAGTGACCTACGATTTCCAGTCACTGGGTATTAAGCCAAATTCTTGGTCATATATTTAATATCACGGTCGGACCAATGTTCGATCAGACGAATGATGAGATGGAGATCTGAAGAATAAGTGCGGCCTATCGACTTGTTTAAAGTTATAGTAACAATAAAAGTGATGGTCATGATATTTGAAATGTAATGAGTAATAGTAATACTGCTAACATCAATCCACCTACCAATTATAGAAAATCCCTCCTAAAGAGAGGGAGGTCCATATACAGCGGCAGATTGCTAGGAACTAATAAAGAAGAAGAAGATTACATTAGTAATTGCTATGAACGACCAATGTATGAAGAAATAACTTGCCCTTCTCACCACGTATAAAAGTAATTGTTTTTAACATTATTAATTACTGATTGTAATTTCTGTTTTCAGATTTTGTGCAACTTGGGTACAGTTATTATAACATACCTAGCTGCTTACCCATATTGGTTGTTAGTTGAAGCTCCGGCAGTAGCATTATCGAAAGTTATTTTCTCGCTGGGACCAAAGCAAAAATCAAAGGCAGAATCGGAGTTGAGGAAAAATGAACGAATTCCGGCTTAAAGCTTAAGGACCATGGAATAAAAAGTGTCTCGTAAAATAGTTAATGCCAAAAAAGTACTAAAATAAAGGTTTGGGTTTTTTTTAAAATTATCAGTTCCTTATTCTTTTATTTATCAATTCCCTACGAATTTATTCGAACTCATTGCGGTAAATTGTAGTTATCCACAAGAAAACTCTAGCAGCAATTGTAGCATAATAAGTATTTAAATAAAATCTGATCAGTTAGTACTCTTATATATAGATATTATTATTTTAGTATTTGGCTTCAGTAACGTTTAAATTTAATATTTTAATGTATATTATTTGTAAATAATAAATTGTACTTGTACTTGTTTCAGACGTGTAATGCACACAACTAGATTTTGTATTTATGATATTATTACTAGATTTTGAAATAATTATGATACCATAGTTGGTAACTGAAACGATTGATATTTGTATATAATTGAAATCAACAATATTTTAGTTACAATATATGTATAGGCTATTTATATTTAATCAAAGGACCTAACATAAAATTATAACGCACGGATCGAGTGCAATAAGTGCAAGTGGATCGATATTTACTCAATTCATTCTATTTGGGCTTTGATACTCATGATATAAGACTTATTATATATTTTACTAGTGCTTTTAAAATGTGAATAACTGGAATTTTGTCTTGATCATGTAAGCAAAGCGAGAAACTAGTTGGGTTAAAAATCTTCCCTTACCGTTTTGATTTCATTGCTGAAAGTTTCATTACCCTGAAGAATTAAATAGAGGTATTCAGAATACTTGTTAAGGCATCTATTTTTATAGGATAAGGGTGACAAAGAGCACTCTGGTGTTTCCTTTGTTTATATATATATATATATATATATATATATATATATATATATATATATATATTTAACGGTAATCATCACAATAGTAGTCAATAGTTTCACTATTTATGATTATGCATGTAAATTTTTTTACGTGGTAGAGCCACGCTGCAGCTATATTATGGTTGTAGCATAAATGGGTCGGCTGTATATATAAGGATACATTAGCGTCCATGCATTCTTGGATAGTGCGTCTCAAAGTAATTTTATGATGCATCAATGTTGTCAACGTTCAGAATTATTTGCAAATAAGACGCCTTCATGTCCCGTAGTGAAGGGAATTGGAGGCTTCAATAAAGCAGTCTAACGTTTGATAATTTTAGTATAAATTCATTAGTTGTAGACAAAGTGACCGATGTCTGTCAACTGTTTCGGTCAACGCCTCCACGTTGACCAATTTTAATAATTTGGCTTTACGGATAATACTTACTCCGTCCCTTGGGACATTGATATGCTCATTGGGGCATTTTTTCCCCTCAGCTCTTGTTATATAACAAGGTTAAGGGTAACTCATCGTGTATCGCTCCTTACGCATTGGAAACCGTTTTAGATTATGTTATTGTTGGTTCCACTACTACTGTTAATATTTCGGCAATGTTCATGTTCCATGTTCTTTTACGTCATATCTTATTGGACAAGCTTTTGCAGTCATTTTGGAAGCGTTGGAGGACATAATACCCGCATACGTTGCCGTTGTGGCAGAAATGGTATACAGCAGCTAATCCATTACTGTTTGGAACTGTAGTTATTCCCACTAAAGAGTACGCGCCGCCTCTTCATTGGCCATTAGGAATCGTTGAAGAAGTTTTTCCTGGATCCGATGGAATAACGAGTATAGCTCGTGTTAAGACCGCGACTGGGTCATACTTTTGTCTTATTGAACGTCTCAGTCCTTTACCTAACCAATAATTTTCGAATTGCTTTTCTAGGTTAGGTTAGTAGTTTAAATTAGGTTTTAGTAGTAGCTTTCGTTAGTTTTTAAGGGAACCTCTCAAGCCGAATTTGTACCAATGCACACCCTAGAATTTCGTATTTTTTGATGTATTTTGTTAGGTGGGTTGGTTGACATAATTCCCCTCGTTTTGGTTCCATCCTCGCACGGACCTGCCTAGTAGGGGGAAGCTAGATACTGGTGGACTCAACTTTGGTCCTCCAATGAGAGGCGCGTTCCGCCAAGTAGAAAGGGGAGATGGAGGAGGCTATAAGAAGACGCGCGCCACCATCGAAGTCGCAATGCAATACAATTTTCGTAGTGCCCACTCAGTCGTCAAGAGAAAGGCCACTCGCCGCTTTCCCCAGGTAAGTGCCCATACTTATTATGAGCTGTTTTGTTTGTTGTTCCTTTATCCGCAGCAGCTTATCTCCCGTCACGTCAGCCAACGCGTAAATTTATTTCAAAGCAAGTATATTGTCCAGAGTCCTCCCACGTGTCGCGTCCGCCATTTTGTTTTGGTCTAAAAACGGAGGTAAAATTAACAAACTATAGACACATTTATTTATTTAATTATTACAGCTTATCAAAAGTCCACTGCAGAACATGTGGTGAAGCCACGTTGCAGCTATGTTATGGCAGCATTGTAGCACGAATGGTTCGTAGAGACTGGGGATTCCTCATTACTGGAAACGAGGCATTTCATCTTAGTCCTCAGGGTTGACAACGTATCCGAATTTTGATTTTTTATTGAGGATGTATAGATTTTAATAGGCCACAGCCGATATTAACCATCAGGTGGACTGTGTGCTCGTTTGTCATCCTTTAAAAAAAAACACTTGAGTCCTCAAGAATCTGGCACAGGTAATATCGGTTAACTACAAATAAAACGTTTGCTTATTGGGCATGTGTCGGTTAACTGAACAAGGGTTAGTTAATGTTGTACGTCGACATTTTTCGTCAACAGGTATGCTTATATTGGGAAAACTGGAATGGGCCTTACGATAACGATAGTTTTACGACGATAAAGCTTCAAGGTAAGTTTTTTTTTTCAGTCATATCTGAACAATATGTAAGTGGCAGCCTGTAATATATCTTTACATAATATATAATTGCTGATCATCCGTTAGTTATCGTGTAATTTCTAACCTCCATAGATTGCGTCATAAGGAGGACATTGCCATAGTTGTCACGCTTTTATTTTGTAATTGTCATCAGCAAGACGCTGTTGCACATCTCCTGGTTGTACCTTTGTCGCTCCCTTACGAAACCCACGGCACGATATGAGGTTGTGAAAAGAAACTTACAATACCATTGCACGGTAAATGGGGCAATATATGAGAAGGCCTATGTTCAGCTGTGGGCTTGAATAGGCTGTAATGTTAATGATGATGATGATGATGAACTAGTGAACGACTTAACCAATTGAGGAAACTTTCACAGAATATTATATTTTGTGTGAACACAAATGTTATTATATTGTTGAGACAATAATTCAAAGCTATGCTATTCGATAGGTGATTCGACAGGTGTGCTATCCGATAGGTGCTGTTGATCTGATTTCTTCCACAAATTTCATTTATAAAATGTTATTTTTATAAACCTACTAAATTTACCTACCATTCCTGAGGTTGAATTGTGTTATAAAAAAATTCAAGATAGATAAAGTAGTGAAAAAGAGAACACTATCTTACTCGGTTTGTCCTGTAAGTAAAGATAAGATTAGGTAATAAATAAATAATTTAAAATAAAGATTTTGGTATTATAAAAAAACAATTTGACATACAAGTTATGTATAATGGCACGTAATATTAGCGTTTTTAATATGATTTAACGTAGGTATACGTTACTCCTAACATTTATAGGCTACGCAATAACTTTGTCAAAATATGTCAAAGTGTGGTCGTAATGAAATTTCATAAAGTAATCAAGATGTGTATTCACTTTAAGCATAATAACCTTTTTTTTGTTATAGCTTAATCGCGTGTTTAGTTAAGTAAAGTAATGGAAGTTATATATCTCGTTATATTTTGATTTAAAACTAGTTACCTTCCTAGTCGGATTCAATTAGATAGGATTTACCAAGGTGGCGATAATCAAAGACCATTTATTTTATAAATTTTCTGTTTGTAATCTTCAAGTTTTTCGGATAAACTAAAGCCTAGATCCCTCCTGGCGTTGCTCACTATGTTTTCGTAAAGTGTCATCGCCATCGACACTGCCATTCTGAATATTAGCTTGGACAGACAGACAGATGGACTTAAAAAAACATGGCTATTTATGCTTTAATAGTATGCAAATATCCCCTTGAGCTAAGCCAGTTATTTCAATTATTTTTAGGTCGTTGATTTTTTTTAAATATTAGTAATCTTATTAATGAACATTACTAATATTGCTTTTAACCACTCCTGGTAAGCTTAAAAAGCTTGTATTAGGAGTGGTTCACGACTGTAGTCAAATGGCGGATTCGAACCCACGACCTTTTGAGTTCGCGATCCGCGCCCTGCCCTTAGGCTACTGTCGCTTCAAAATTGTTTTATTTTTATTTTGAAGCGACAGTACATAGTGCATTTATTAATTGATTGAGCCATCGGGGATCCACACGTCATGTTTATAGAGTGGATATCTTCTATAGTTACATTGTATAAGCGCATATTATCACGGACTAGCCATTCCTCTTAAACTACCGTGGGTGACCAATGCACGATAAGGTCTGGAAGCCCGTCCATTTCAGGTAAAGCTTCCTTAACCAAACATTCTAAATAGTTAACGTTGAATTTTATATGTTGTTATTTGGCATGATTGCGTACTACGTCATTCTGCGTACTTCTACGTCCTTACGTACCCGACGGGGAGTACAAAAATGCATTCGAATCCCACTGCTTCTAGTTAGTGCCGAAACATTCCAGGCGAGTTTGGTCACATTATTACCCTCAGATCTGCTGTGCCCTTTAATCCATTGAAGGGATAAATACACATAAAAACTGACGTCAATTTAAGAAGTGCTTAAAGTTGCTCTCTCTATTTTCACTAAATGACTGTAGAAAGAGACAAGGGTTTATAATTAATACGTAATCTGAGTAATCTATAATTAACCATTAAAAGTAAGGCCCTACATGTTGTATAATTATAATGTTGTTAACTGTAAAGCGACAGAGCTTGTCAGTAAAATAGAACACCCCAGGAGATTTGAATCACACTAT